GATTTATTGCAGATCGATTTAGCCGAATTTATACCATATCATAAACAAAATAAAAGCTATAAATATATTTTGTTTGTAATTGATTGTTTTACAAAATATTCATGGGCAATAGAGTCATAAAGATGACTCCTACGTATGCTGATAACAATCCTTAGGCAATGATTATACACAGTACTGTACATAAAACGAAACAAAAAAGTAAATTTCGTAGAGGTGATTATGTACGGGTCAGTTCGAATAAGACCGTATTTGAAAAAGGCTATTTGAGTAATTGGACTTTTGAAATATTTACAATAGCAAAGGTATGCAATACTATACCAATAACCTATCTTCTCGAAGACGAAGTTTTTTGACCGTTCGGTTTTTTGCGTGTTCCATCTTCAATAGACTTGTGTATTTTTGTATGTTTTTTTCCTTTCAAAAATCAACTCCCCCTAGTTTATAAGGTACGGGCAATGACCTTATTTAAGGTCATCCCTGATCAATATTGATATGTGACAACTGTCACGAGGTTTTGGTGTGCATCAACTATAAAGGACTCAACAAACATCAAATACAATATTAGAACTTTTCTATTTTAGCTTCGATGCGAAGCTGAGAAGGTATTAATTTTACCATGACGTGTTTATTTATTTATTTTTTTTTTGTGTCTCACTACTTTTTCTCAGCTCTCACTGGACCAATTTCTTTCAACAATACGTCAAAGATCACAAATCGTATCTAGTTGAAGACATTACCCTTAAAAATTGAAAAATTTTCCCTAGTTCCCCGCAAATGGGGGAAATATCCAAAAAAATTACAAATTTAAAAATCGGTAAATTTTGTCATTTTTTTCACTTTTTTTTCTTAAAACTTTCATAACTTTTTCAAAAATAAACAAATCAACATAATTTTTTTTTATACTAAAACCTTAGATATTTTCCTTTCATTTGATATCATTTTTTTGAAAATTTAACACTTAACCTGCTCATTGGTCTATCAGACCCATGGTATCTATTAACATAACATTTTTTCACCTACCTAATGAGGGGTAAATATTTATTAGCTACTAAAAGTGACAGAATTACTCTAGTAGCATTGGAAGTCTCTTTAATAGGCATTGAATCGGTGTCTCCTAGCTGTCTATTTATGAATTTTTTTTACTTTTAATTAATTAAATACGAAAAACAAATAAAATATTTTAAATAGTAAAACATTTGTGATATTTATTAGCTACTAAAAGTGACAGAATTACCCTAGTAGATTCAGGAGACACAATTGAAAAAGAACGTTTGGGATGACTTATCGGGGCAATTAAAAAATTTTGTATCCGTGATTTCCTTGCTCTCGCACATGTCTTTTTAAGTATATTTCTTCTTTTTTTAATAACTAGGGTCGACCCAAAGGGGTGACCAGACGACAACTTCTGCTTTAAGTTGATCAGCCAATTCAATGAAATTGCCTACCATAAACTCAATAAAGTTTTCAACTACGTATATCATTACGTTGTGTTTGCCAGTCTCATTTTTTTCTGGATCTTTTTCGATCGCTGAACTGAAATTAAAATTAAACATACATGTCAATTTTTTATTGCATACTAATTAATAACAATTAATAATAATTAATAAATTAAATTTAAGAATAAAAGAATGGATAATTATTTGCATTAAAACACACTTAGAAGTGTATCAATACAGCAATTTTCGAATATTAATGTAAAATAACTTAAAAATATTTTTTATAAGTTTATAGTTTTTACATTGTCATGTAGTTTAATTTTACTTGATAAAATTTGTTAAATAAAACGTGGATCTTAAAATATTGTTTTTATCTTATAAATAATGATGGTTAAATTATCAAATCATAAAATGTTGTTACCTTTATTCACAGTATATTATTAAATCATTAATTGAAATAAATGCAGAGCATACATATTGTGTTAATCAATATGTATAAATTACAAAATGAATTAAACATTTGTAATTTAAAAAAATATTGTAATTAAATTAAATTAATGTTATTTAAAACAACTACTTTTAAACCAGTGCTTCAGAAGATATTCTAATTTTTGTACCTAGGTTGCAGGAGAATTGTGAACGAAGAATGATTAATGATAAAAATAGCAGCTTCTGTGCTTTACCATCAGTACTCTATTTTAAAATTCTAATAACTTCCAAAGTATTAGTCCAAAAGTTATTATCGACTGTCATTTTTTTAATCACATAATTTTCTATATTATAAACTAGTGTATTATGTATGTTGCCGTTTAAACAAATAAAGTTGACAAATAAGATAATATAAGTATTGACTCTTATCGATTTGAAATCTTACCTGAATATTTTTCATTGTTCTTATAATAACAGTATTGTTTGGATTGTCTTATTATGCTTGAGAAAGAAGTAGAGGATGGACTGTATAAATGAATAAAATTAATTTAGGAATATAGAACAATTACCTGTATTAAAAGTTTAAACCAAAATACTATATACATCAATGTGGGTAGGGGTGACTATTAATGTTAATGCAACAATGCGTAAAATAAAACAAATGATAAGAACAAAAAATAGCTAAACAATATGATTACACAACTACTTATACGATAATAATGGTGATGACTGGTTGATATTTGAAAATCAGGCGGGTGAAGTCGTTGGCGGCATAATAGTTGAACTGGCAAAATGTACTGGCGCGAATAATAGTTCAATATATACGAATTCAATTATCGATAAGCGTATCGCAAGGACGATATAGCAACATTTTTAAAACAACTACGGGCTCGCAATCATCGTAGAACCATCTAACAAAACGAGTTATGGATGTAAGTAAAAACGCAAAATTCACAAAAGGGAACCGATAATAATTCGCCGAGTCACAAGAACCACGTACGCAAACATTCAACGTAATGAATTTTTGCACAACCGGTGGTAGTAGTGCGAGTAGCGTTACCAGTCATAACAAACAATGTTAGAAAACGCCCTCCATAATGCGTATCCTACAAATGTAATTAAAGTTCATGTTTAAAGAAACCTCGTGATAATGCACGAGTATAGGAAAAACGAATGGTCGAAATAAAGAAGGAAGGGAATGCTGTACAAAGTTACCAAAATTATAATACAATTATGTCCAGTCCGCAGCCAACAAACTAGTCTTCGCCCATAGCTCGATCGCCAGGGCTAAATGTAAAAGTTAGATAGCATGAAAATGTAAGAGTACAAAATTAAAAACGAGAATAAATGATGGCTGGAGAAAGTAGATTTATGACCTGTCAAAATTTTGAAATTGCATAATACCGGTATTTCGTAAAAATATCCCTAAAACTAATGTATTTATACTGAACACTTGAAATTTCATCACTACTTCACTATGACGTCTTCTAACACGTCCAATAAATAACTATAGTTTGTTTTAATTTTTAGTTTATTTTTTAAGTAATTTCGAGAAAAGTTTTTTGTTTTGTTTTTGTAAAAAAACGACACTTTCAAATTTAAAATTAACAATGAATTACATTTTTTAATCAAAATTTTTTTATATCATACTAACATTATTCAGTATTATAATTTAATAATATTTTAAGATATTTACTTTTGTAATCATTTTTATAAGTCTATAAGGTACTTAGTAATAAAGTAAAGAACACCGACTTCAGTATAACATAAAGCATAAATGTATATTACGTTTATAGCAGATTAATAATACATGAATAACGCGGGTAATTCGCACGGAGACGATAGGAGGTCAACTAACTCGCATTACTATCCATACGGATGACACAACGGTAGATCACCAGTATAGCAACGATAAGCTGACCCCTCTACTATATAAACTATACATCATACTTTGGTCTTTTTTTAGTAACACAGTAAAAAAAAGTTCAAATTTCTAAAATAACGAATTTTAGTCAACTTTAACTTAGTTTTTCCCCGGTGGACAGAAAATTAAATGATAAAAATTTCACAAACACATGTTTACTTTCTATGGTATAAGTTTCAACTTTGGTATTTTACCGAAACCAACATAAAATTAGCTTTGACGAATACCTTTTTTTAAATTTATTATGTTGTATCGTATTATGTTCTAAGCGTTCACTTGTAATACATAAGCATTTATATTTAATTTCATCGTCAGCTTTGTAGTAATATACAAGAGGATGGAGGGGAGCCTGTTTGATTCTGCACGATAAAACTATAATTCACCGAAAAATCGTCTACTACTATGCAACCTGATGTGGATATAAAGTCTTTTGACCTTTAAAAATAATTAGCTTGAATTTTTGATGTGTAATGATGTTTCTTTAAAGTATACAATTTTTCACCTAATAAATCAATAAAATTATCGACAGGTAAAATATTAGTTACTAAATCAGCTCTATCTGTACTTACACATTGTGTATATAAAATATTATCTGAGCCATCATCTAATTCGTCAGACAACATTTTTTTTAACAATCACTCCAATTTAAACAAATAACGCTTTCTCCCATCATACAATTATAATTTTCAATAATACAAACTAAACAATTAAGATAATAATTAAGTACCGGCTTTTAACGCAACTTCTTTAACCATAAACTTTAAATTTTGATAGTAAACACAGGCATTTATTGACAAAATGAACTCGTATTGACATATTCAACATCTAAAAAAAGTCTAAACACTCAGACTTGGAATGCTGAGAATTTGAAAGCCAAAGACGTCGGCAATAGATATGAAAAGAATTATACATGGAAGAATGCGTATAAACCTGGACTTAAGCCGAACAATAACGCAACATATAACGCTAAACGTTATCCAGTGAACAACGAAAAACTTTATATATTAAAAGAAATGTTAAATACTGTTTATGCAAACGTAGAAGCAATAAAAACTATTGGACCGAGTGCGGTGGTGAAACTGATTTGATTATAAAATACTATACTACCTTATAACTCCTATTCATTTGCATTCGACAGCCAATGTATATATTCCTTAACGTTGTTAACGGAAGTTTGCGCGCTGTCAATGATGTCTTTTTATATTATATATATATTTTTTATTAAGTTTATTATGAAATGTTTGCCTCTTCATAACCTATCACCTTATTTCTTTATTTATTGTATGTATATCTGCTTGTTGTAACATTATTTAATTTTTTGTATTTTTGCTATATTGTTACATTTTTTTGTTCACTTATCTGTTTAAATTAAGTAAAGCTGTTCGACACTTATAAAACATTATTATCATCTAATTTTACTTTACTTATTTTATACGTCAATTAATTAATACACTTTCCATTGTAAATTGGTCTAAAAGTGGCAGATTACTAGTTGCTAACAAAATTTTCTGTTGAGATCAATCGTGTAGTTGATGTCACTGTTAGCGATATGTATGTATTGTGTCTGTATACGCACTTGATATTGCGAGACTATAATTATTATATTAACTCGCGTACAAGTATTTCTCTAGTATAAGTCTATATTAAATTTACTCAAGTCAAAATCCAATTTATTATCCTGTTGATGTTTTATGTAAATCCTTTTTGTATATTTATGTGGTATGTTCTTGAGCATTGTACGTAATGTTTTATACTAACGCAATTATAATCTAACAATTTGTAAGACCTTTAAAGAAATTCTAAATAACACAACTGTCTGTGCAATAAACTATTTCCAAGTGGCCTAGTCTTTACAGTCATCCGTAAAATGATCTAGGGTAGATGCGAGCTTAATTTCAGTTCTTTGCACGATTATACTAGTGTCCTACACTCCGATGGCATGAGGAGGACATTGATAAGGAACCTGAAAAACTTGAGTTCATATGCGACATACAAATCCCAAGTAATGTCAGGGACTTACGCAGAATTTTAGGGGTATGTAATTGGTATAGTCAGTTCGTTGACAACTACGCGGATAACATAGACTCCCTAAAGCTATGGTTTCCTAGAAAAGCGGTGCCGTTATCTAGCGGCCGTCATTTTACGGTTGTTAATAACGGCCGTCTTTACGGTGACCAATCTGTGGTTTCCTAGGAAGTAGTGCGACCGTATTCAATCGTAGTCACTTAAAAGTCAGTACTCACTCGAGAGTAGTTGATCGCGCATTGGTGAAAAATGGACGATTTGGACATAGCGTTATTAGTATGTTTGGATGATGAAGAGTCATCAGAAGACGAAAACAATCGTTTGGAGGAGAGTGTTATGTTCAAAAATCGTGAAACTGAGGGTGCATTTCAAATTTGGCTTGTCTATACTCTTTGGATTTGATATTGTACAAAGGTTCATGATTTTTGACAAAATCAATTAATTGTTCATCATTTTCGCTCGTCCAAATCACGTTTCCACTCATTGTATAATTTAAAAATGCAGACCGCTACACGGGAAAAACGTTTAACTTTTGTTTATCACCGCTATGACGGCCGTCATGCAACTGACAGCATCGCTATTTGACGTTACGGTGACACTCAACGTACTTTAGGAAACCTACTCCGATGTTATTTATAGAAAACGTCACCCAACGCTATATTACGGCCGCTAGATAACGGCACCGCTTTTCTAGGAAACCATAGCTTTACTAAACTGCTTAAAAAAGGGTAAAAGTAGCCGTGGCCCCACATAC